AATTCCTCCTGATTGGAGAGATAACGGTTGCTGATAGATGCTTGTGGAGTTGGGTTCACCCATTTGTCTTGCATTATTTAGTCACCTGGTCTCCAGAGAGTGGCAGCAATCTAGGGAAATCTTTCCCTGCATCTGCTTCAATAACAGTTCACTCAACATGCAGGAATACAACCATGACATGTGCCTTCCTTTTCTGCCTGCTCCCGACAAATATGGTTTTGTATTTTATAGCTAATTGAAAATGGCAATAGAAATCATATCTTCTCAACAATAGGAGCAAAAAAAAAGCTGATGTGTATTTTCATTATGCAAATTCATCTGCAGATTATGACATCAAGAAGTAAAACAAACGGCCCTCAAATGAAATAGAAACAAAAAAATTTATCTTTTTATCTGTAACAAGAGTTCCACGATCTCATACCTTCGCCAAATGGTGTTAACTCTTGCGGGTGACAAATTATACAATTTTAATCATTTATTTTGTAAATAAGAGCCTCATTTGCATGGATTATATCAGTTGATCATATTCTCCATCCAATGACAGCCTTATCATAACAAAAAGGCTATTATAGCACTTCCTCATAAATTATGCAAATGAGGTCATAATAAATTATGTTTATTGATCTTCACTTCACTTTACTTAACTTCCAAATGTGGCAAGTATGAAATTGGGTGCAGCAGTGACAACTATGGAATTATAAGAATTTGCCATTAATTATGCAAATTAGGTTCTCATTTACATAATCTATATCCTCAGATGTTTTTCTCGTTCTCAAGTAGATGTCACAAGTGTTTAATAATTCTATTATCGAACAAAGCAGATTTATAGCATTTCCTCATTAATTATGCAAATTAGCTCCTGATTTGCATAATTGCCATCTGATTATGTCAAGCATCACTTCAACTACATACATGCCAAAAATCATGACAATACGTCAACCGGATCTTGAGTTATCGTCCTTCAATGTTTTTTCAACAAATGCTCCTGCAGTTCCAGAACAAGGCGCTAGGGGACCCAATCTCATGTCACTTCTTCCCTACCCCCAAAGCTATCTACCAACCAAAATTCGTGACCCTAGCATGTCCAGAACATGAGATATCAAAACCGGAAGT